ACATGTATACAACTAGATTAATAATTTTTTCATATTTCATCTTTATTTAATGACTATCATTTAAGTACTAGACAATAGAAAAAATTTTGCTAATTTTTAATGATCAACTAGACTAATAGATTTCTTTCATTTTTTCCATCTTTTAATAAATTTTCAATATAATATGTATAATTTATGTATAATCTGGGCACTGCGACTCAGTCAAAAGTACTCGAGTAAATTGACATTACGCCATGACGTTTCGCATGTGTATGTGTGTGTGTACATAATAGGTATTAGTGTGATTACGTGAGAGCAGACTGCTCGGGTTACGAACGACAGTTGTTTTTATTTTCTCACGATTTTTGTTTAATGTCTTTTTTTTTCCTCCGATTGAATCTATGCTTCGCGTTTTAAACGTTTCTGCTTCACTAATGGATTTGATTTTTAATTACTTGAATCAACGCTACTTAATGTGTATGCCTTATGAACAGGTTTAATCGACGGCTCTGCGATTTGGCACATGCTCGCGCTCACAACATCTCTGTACATTTTTTTAATCTCACCTCTCGTTTAATATTAACGCTCTCCCGATATCACATCTATATGTATTATACATATACTCTCCTCAACAACGAACAACATGTCGCTGAAAAAATTTTTTTTCGTGATTTCATCGAATTTTAAACTTAAAAAAAAAAAAAAAAAAAAAAAAAAAAAAAAAAAAAAAAAAAAAAAAAATTTAATGAAACAACGTTACGTAACAAAACTTAATACAAACTTGGTCGCAGTTATGCGGTATCGATTCGATTTCCATGATTCTTAGTGTACTTTGTTTCCTTTATAAGCTAAACTTTTTTTTGCAAAAAGCAAATGTCCGTAGATTTGGTCCTTTAAAATTTAAAAATTCTTATCTCGAGTGTAAGTATGATTCATATTTCATTTTTTTATTTTTTGCGACGACCGTCGTGCTCAACTGAAATTTTTCATAAACATGATGGGTCGAACAGCGTGTAAAATACGAATACATACCAATCATTACAAATACACATGTAATTTCGCAAAAGAGACTTTAAGTAGTAATGGCAGAGGTGAACGCGAACAACGAAAACAATATTAAAATACCTCCCTGCTTCACATCTATTTTACATATGTTTCTTTAGTGACCCGCGTGACGGAAAATTTTTTTCCCAGCCATTGGCACTTTAATGTTGACGCATAAAAATTCTGATAATAGACTTTGACAAATAGACAAAACATTATAATCACGAATGGCGATATTTTTTTTCTTCAATACATGCAATATTTTTTTTTCTTCGCCCTTTTTGTTTTTAAATATTTTTAATATTTGTAACAAATTTCAATATAGTTAACGTGTATTTACATCGTGATTTAAAAACCGACAATTGCGTAGAAACAATGACGATGTGAAAGAATTACATTTGCCTGTCAACAGCGTACAAATGATTGTATCATTCTGCAGAACATGTTTCGTATAAAACGACGCGACGTTAATCCGTGTTTAGTGCGTGCAACAGATCTATCTATCTATCTTTTATTTTTCTCTCTGTTAAGGTCGATACTTTCAAAAAACAATTGACAACCATAGAGGCCATGCGAATAGTGCAATCTGCTGCTGCTCTTGTATAGATTTTCAGCTTTATTAATTTTTTTTTTTTATTATTATTTAGTTACTTCTTTAATTTTTCTGCTAAGAATTTGCGTTATTTTTTTGTTGCCAGAGTGTGCGTGTATGTGCATTCCGTAAAAATACGTCGACGAAAGTACAGGCGTACGAGAAATAGAGGAAAGGCTTGTAAGGTAGAGAAAGAGAAGGGAAACCGCCATTTTTTCTTATTTCATCAAGATAATGGGGGTGTGAAATATTGCCTAGTTATGTATACACTATTGCTATACATAATTAGCGACGATCTGTTTTAAAATTTATTATCCAACGAGGAATTTATGACGCTGTGTTTCGACATTGAGATTCGCAATTAAAGTTAGTAGTAATGTAAAAAATTTTTGTATCTAAAGCGTATTTAGTTTTTAGTTAAAATTACATCGAGCATCCATCGGTAGAAGGATCGAGATTTTCGCATGCAAAGTTGCATCTTCTAATTAATTTCAAATATGTTTATAATCTTGCAGGTTGCTAAAGATTAGATTAAAGAGGACGCCATAGTGCCATTTCTTAAAGTGTTGTTACCAATCCTAACGGCATATTTAATAACTGATTATTTCAATGATGAATTTAAGCTTGACATTATACCTAAATTTATAGTTAAAATAAATCAAATATCAAATAAAATAGAGAATCGTGGGCATCGGTAACATTGGCTGTCTCTTAGATTGAAAAATAAGTTACAGCTGATACAACAATTGCATAATCCAACATTACAAGCAATAAACAGTGAGTGGAGAATTTATTCAAAAAAATTTTTCTCATTCACGCGTTTTTTGCACTCGAGTCTTTTTTTCTCGTATAATGTGCTCATTGAAATTATTCTAAAAAAATATACGTACTATCAAGAGGATAAAAATAAGATTGATCAATTAAAACATTTAAATACAATATACACATAATATAATATATAACAGGTTGCATTCGGCGAATCGTATTATCTGGAAAAACAAATGAGTAAGTAAAAAATGGCTCGTCATCACTCAGAATAATATAATTCATTCAAAATCTTTACCCAATAAAAAATTCAGTATGTTAATTTTTTTTATACAGCTAAAATTTCTCTAAATACCTTCATTATTATTAACGTTAATATGTATAACGTACGAATCATTAACGATTCATTTTGTGCTTCTCAGAGATCATCATCGTATATTATTGATTTATTCATTTTCATAACCGTAATCATCACACCATTACTTTTTGTTAAAATCATTTTAAATGACTCCACTAAACACCGTACAGTCACTTCATTGATAACTAGTCATACCATTTTTCTTTTCTTGTTTTTTTTTTATTACACGATAAAATGTACAAAGTGGTAGAAAGTAAAAAAAAGTTGATTAATAAAATTGTTTGTAAATCTCTTACTTTTGTTTTTTTTCAATCTATATGCACGAGCAATTGTCCGTTTCACCAAACAGGAATCCTCCAAAGGGGCTCAACACTTACTAGTTTTAACATGATTAAGAAACAAACAAAGAAACGTCAGAAATCGAGTACACCAGTGTCCTTCCCTCTAATGCTGCTCTAAACTGAAGTTGGCTTCGGTGGTCGGGTCGGAGATAATCATGTCCGCGTTGGTGAGCCTTTGAAGTTCGTCTAGATCGAGCGGACCGAGACCCTGCCTTATCGCTTCCTGATGAAAATTCAGTTCGTGAGCCAGAGGGTCGTCCGCAGCAAAGAGATCATCCGCCTCAAAGTTCGTCGTTATCGCCGAATTGAAATCCTTAGCGAAGTCCGAATTCACGAGTTCTTCCGGCACCGAGCAATCTGCACACCCGCCAAACATCAGCAGATTAGTATTATTATTATTATTATTATTGTTATTTTGTTTTTTTTACTCCACCTCAGCTGCAGAGCTTACCCGTTAGCGTTATGGTCGGCGTGTTGGGTGTCTGGGGCGTCAGTTGTTGCGTCGTTGTCGGCGTTCTTGCCTGATAACCCAACTGCTGCAACGAACTCGTACCAAAGTAATTGGCATCACTGCTGCCAAAATCACTCGCGACATTCAACACGTTGCTCTGGAAATTCCAAAAGAAAAAGTATTTAATACTTGACACAAAAACAAACAAAAATTATTATCATTATTGTTCACCAACCTGAGTGTACGAGCACGTGTGGCTTGGCGAATTCATGTACATCGTCGTCGGCGAATCGTTCTGAATGAAAACAAAATTCATGTTAGTGTTTGTTGAAGTAACGTTTGAAAGCTCGCTGTTATTACTAGGAAAAAAAAACATCCATGAAAACGTATCATGAAAAAAAAAAGAAGAATATAAATCACTAAAAGCTATTCAAGACGACGACGACAAAATAAATATAAGACATCTAAGTATAAGTGAAACGAAATCAACAAAGATAGAGGTATGGTCTAACGTCACGCCTGAAAGGAAGAGAATCGTTAATGAGTATGAATCTATTGAAATGAAGAGGCATTCCAAGAGGCAAAAAAAGCAAACAAACAAAACGGTAGATGGTCATCCCTGGGGGTAATCCAATGGGATCGAAAATTATAATGTAAACAAAAAAAAATTGGATGCAGAAACGTCGTAATTCACGAGTACTACGAGGCAAAAGACGACACGCACGCACACCCACATTTTTTCACGAGATGTACTACATTCAAATAAAAGCATATACATGTAAATATGGATGAATAAAACTCGAAGAAGAGAAAAAACACAAGGTCAGATCAAAAAATATATGCTGATAGATAAAAACGAAACGTAATTGTTGAAATGTAAAAAAAGGGGTAGGTTTCTCGTTATCACCTCGTCCAGCTGTCTACTCAAGGAATAACCGGTATCTTCGAGCAGTGGCATCACTTGCGCCCAATCCTATAATGACGGCAGGTAACAACAACAGACAAATTCGGTATCAAGACACTTTATTCTCATCTCATCCATTGTATTTTATCTTGTGTTCAAAAACTCTCAACCGAATAAGTAACTCATATGGCATGCTTTTTATAAAAAAAATATACATATGTCTCAAACGTCACGACGTCTGTACCACTATATGTGTTTATGATGTAATACTATTTGAGCACAACAACTATTACGTTTTCATGTCTTTATCGACGGACGCACTATACAGTAGAATAACCATGTAATCTTGGAGACGAGTTCAAGATAAGTCTTAAGGTAAAAAAAAAGGATAATTACAGAGGTGATTTTCGTGAAAAGCAAAAGGGCCGACTCGACTCCAAGACTCGGGCAATTACGACAATCATATATGTTGAATTCCTTACACGACCATGTAATACTTACGATTTGGGCCTGTTGACAGTTAGAGAGTGCATGAAATGTAACGATTAAGAGAAGAAAAAAAAAAAGTGAGGAAACGTGTGGAAATTTAGTCCAAAACGGACAAAAAAAAAATTCTACTCTCCATGGGTGTTCAACTTACCACGGTGAACTGCTCAAAGTCCGCGTGGACCTGGTTGATAAAGTTAGTGTGGTCCTGCGGATCGAGCGACAAGTTTGGCGGGCCATGGTGTCCCGTGGGACTCGACGGCGTCGACGGATTATTACTATAACTAAATGGACTTCCCTGCAAGAAAAAAAAAAAAAAAATCATTGTTGTATTCATGTCCTCTTTTGTAACTGTACATAATACAGGGTGTTAAACCCACCTGATAAGTAAGACTAGGCGAGGACTGTGGCGACGGTCTGTTGACCATCTGTGGCGATCTGTAGTTTAGGGAGTTGAACTGGCTCAGCGTGCTCTGCTGCTGGTGCACCTGTTGTCCCTGCGACGCGTTCTGTAAAAAAAAAAAAAAAAAAACCAACTGATTTGTCAAAGCAATCGATCACCCAAGTGGTATAAAGCGGTGCTTGGCAATGCTTACCGGACTCTGAGGGGCGACGGGACTGTGGGGCTGCTGGTACATGTACTGACCGGGACTGTGGGCGACCTGCTGTTGGAGCCCAGGCGACGTGGTCCGGGGCACCGGCTGGGGTTGACTTTGGGGTGGTATGTTTGGCGGCCCGGCGGGTGGCTGGGGCTGCTGGGCGTAACCTATCCTTAGATCCTGTTGGGACGCGCTTGTGTTACCGTCCAGCGTCAAGCCCTGCTTTAATTAACAGAGTTGCCACACCGTTAACTCTTTCCGGGTACGGACGAGGTTCACATACATAATGGGTCGAGAAGGGACGTGTACAGGTTGATATGCTCCTTACCATTAGAGCGGCATTTTTTTTTTTTTTTTTTTCTACTCAAAAATCGTTTCTCACGTGTTTAGCTAAATCTACTCGATCAACAGTGTACAGATGATGATAATAATAATAATAATAATAATAATAATAATAATAATAATAATAATAATCATAATAATAATTACTCATGTGGTGGAGGGTTGATTTTTCTTTTTCTCTTATTTCGTTTGATTAAAAAAGTCTGATGGGTCTAGCTGGATAATGGAATCTTCCTCCAACAGGCAGTGGACGAGAGATTCCATGTGATGTGTATACAACAACAACAACATTGTTTATACGTTTCTCTCACTTATTTATGAACAAACATACCATAACTCGAACATCAAAAGTCTGCTAGTCGACTAAACTATATATATGTATTAACATGTATACACGTGTATTCAGCACGAGGTTGTCACGTGACAGTGATTGTGCAAACAAATTTTTATGCAAAAAGTAACAATTTTATTTAAAAAGAGGCGTGGTATTGATTAAACATTGCAGCACAGAGCGCTAGATTTGCAAAAGGAAAATTTCACCTCTCAAACAAAGTCATTGGAACGTACAATTGAGTTCGTTTTTTTTTTTTTGTTTTTTTTTTTCAATCAGATGAAAGGGGGAAATAACGTTTGTTGAAAAGGTTTAATTTTCCTCTTCGGAGAGCAAATAAAAAAATAGCAAATGAAGATTAGTGCAATTCGGTGCCTTGCTCTATCGCTAAGAAGCATTTTGGTGAAAAGTAAAGTAACGAGAGAGAGAGAGAGAGAGAGAGAAAAGAAACGAAAAAAAAAAAAAATTTAACAACATCTACTAACCTTGCAGGAATGCAGATACCTATGGTTAACAGGCACCGATAAATGGGTCTGCAAAATAACAAATAACTTCTACAACCAAGGCAAAATAAAATAAAATAAGCTTAAAATGAACGAAAAAAAACAACAACAAAATTGGAAAACTGCAAATGCTCGGCGTAGCGCAACAATAGTCACATGTGGTCGTCATCTCTGTACAGCTTTTTTTGGCGTGTATGTTAATGATAACAAGAAGAAAAAGAATATTTTTTTGCACTAATTTTTATATTAAGACATGACAATAAACATCTATCACAAACAGCGTTAATAAGAGAAATAGGATATTGAGAAATGAGAAAAGTGTAAGAGATTATGCAGAGGAAAAAGGGAGAAACATATACACAGACGACACAGTGCACTTTTATCATCAACGCGTTTCATTCTCTAATTGTGAAAAAAAACTCGTTTTTCACTTACAAAGATACATTGCATACTTCTATGGCATATCGATTTATCGTCTTTTCAACACATGCAGCTACGTCTATTGCGTTTTTAATAAATTATTGGACACTGCCTGCGCTCAATAATAATAATAATAATAAAAAAGATGAAATGAATAATATTTATAACAATGATAAAAATGATGACAATGATAATGACGATAATAAAGATGTAATGATAATAATGTGGATGATAATAACAATTATAAAAATAATGATACTTACGATAATGATAATAATAATAAAAATGACGACTATGATGATAATAATAAAAAATGATGATGATAATGATAATAACAATGATAATGATTTATATACGGATGCTGTTAAAAATGACGATAACGTCAATTTTTATGATTATAATAATGATGATAATGATGATAGTAGCAATAATAATAATAATATTGACAACACAGCTGATTATTATGATGATAATGGTATTGATCAATATAATAATAGTTAAAATCTTGATGATGATTATGTCAACGATGATGATGATAGTTCAATTGATAATGATGATAATCATAATGATAATAATAATAATAATGATAATGATGATAATCATATGGATGATGATGTCAAGAACAATGATGATGACGATAATTATCGAAAAAATGATGATAATGGTGATAATGGTAAAGAGGATAATTAAAATAATGTTCATAGTAATGATAACGTTAATGATAAAACTGATCATAATAATGACAAAGATAATAAAAATGACAATACTGATAATATGGATAATAATGATGATAATGATGATAATGATAATAATGACGTAGATGATGNTTTTTTTTTTTTTTTCGTTAGTGTGCAGGGTGCAGAAAATTATCAGTGACATGGAGAGATCGCTTAATTAGTGATGCGAAAAAAAAAAATGAGACGTAAACACGTTTAGATTCTGGTAAAAATACAACTATTGTATACAGTTAAGACAGCAGTATATCTCTTTTCGATCAAATCTCACGCTCCTCCTCTTCTTCGTCCACTTGGAATATCGGTCGCAAGCAATCGAGCTAATTGTAAATATTTATATAAAATATGCGTACGCATGGGGTAAGTATAATAATGAAAGCGAAGAAAGTAATCGAAATATATATATATATAAAAAAAAGAGAGACGACATGTTATTATTTAATTAGTATACGAGAGAAAACTAAGATAAAAAAAAATCGAGAAACGAGAGAGCTTCGATGCATTTCAAAATAGAATGACGTAAAAAATTGTACTTAAATGTAACGAGGAAAAAAAGGGGGGGGGGCGAGAGAAATATGCGGCGGTGTCCACGGAGTGGGTGTACGTACGTTGCTATACTGGGAGCCGCTCGAGTGGTCCTCCTGGTCGAGCGGCGCGTGAATCGGCGATGGAAAGTGGACGTTGGTCAAGTCCGGCAACGAGCCCGTGTTGTTGCCTATTGGTATCTGCTGCCCCGGTGGCTGCGAACTCAGATACACGCTGGAAATATCGTCGTCACTTACGCATTAGCCCTCAACAATGTAATTGACAAAGAAAAAAAAACATTTTTTTTTTTAGTGATTGCTTACTTTATACCGGGCACTCGAGGCATTTCACACGACGATCTCGGCCGTTCCGGGCAACCGTAGTGATAGTGCGAGTCTCGGTTGTCATTGCTCGAGCCTCCGTGCCTTTGTTGATCTGCTCGTGTACGTGGAGAGAAAAAAATTTTTTTTTTTTTTTCTTATACATCAAGTTGAGCAAATTAAAATTACTATATCTAGATTAATGAGATAAAAAATAATAATTTAAAAGTTAAAAATAATAATTTTTTCCTTTTTTCCACCTTGTAAGTATTCGATTTACTGCGCAGAATGATAATTTCTCTATAATTTTAATTATTATTATTATTTTTTCTCTCATTATGGAGGGGTGATAAATCGTGCGTGTTTTACTCGTGTAAAATGACACAAAGAAATCACTAGTCGACTAGTGGTGTATACTTAATTCTGGTTGAAGGAAAAGCAAGCCTGTTTTTGGCGAATGAAAATATAAAAAAACAATAGGGCGGGTTGGTCCAAAAAAAAAAAAAAAAAAAAAAAAAAAAATTGGTCGGGTGAGCGGCGACGAAGGAGAAAGTAAACGAAAAAAATTTCGACTGACAGGCATCGCTACCTCGACGATGGTGGCCCATGGAGGAGTTGGTTTGGCAGGCCTCGTTGGCGCTTTGGTGGAGCGCCGAGTCCGAGTTAGATCGCCTGTTGTCAAGAAGCGGCGGTGACAAGTACGGCGTGCCGCTGTAGGGTGACGTGTCGTGGCGCTTCTCAACGGGGCGCGAGCGCATCGGACCACCTCCCATGCTCCGACTGCGCTCCTGGGCACCACCACCACCTCCGCTACCGGGGTTACCGGCGTTTGTTTGCCGGTAGCCGCCACCTTGGCTCTGGGTTACTTCTTCCAAGTTACTCAGCGCCGTCTAGAATAATCAAAGGTGCGGGGAGTGTTTTATTTCGTGCGTTTCAATGAAACATTTTTTATTTTTTTTTTTATCTTAAAAAAAAGTTTGTGTGTGTGTTTATGCGAGCGTGCATGGAAAATTCCAAAAATGTATAATAATATGTGAGTTACGTGGCAGAGAGACGGGATTGTCAGTATAGTTTTATGGTACTAGGTTCACTGAGTCTCGTTATATTTATCAAATCAAAATATGCTGAAAAAAAAATAGTAGTTTTCCTACGAGTTTGAAAAGTCTCTGTTTGCGAACCGAGAGGTTTGCGGCCCGAGCCAAAGGCGAGGCACGTAACGAGGTTCGTAAAGCAGACTTTTCGAACGAGTTCCGGAAAACTGCTTTTTCGCCCGAGGAAGTACTAGCCTCCCAAAACCACCCGAGGGCGGAAAATTATCTTTTCACACATCGGTATTAAGTATTATTTGCATAAAATAATTTTTTTTCTAGTAATCACTTAGATTTCTAAGAACTTCTGAAACGATTGTTTCATCTTTCTGATGTTTGAATTTTAATTGTAAATTCGTTTTTAAGATCATCCAGTTCTCTCCTCAATTCCATCTCGATTGCGCGTGATGGTTTACTTCATTGAAAATTTTCGGTACACAAATTGATGGCATTACTAACTTTACCTAAATAAATTTTTTTAAGAGTTTTAAGGGCTTTTTTAACGATGTATTTTTATATATGATCGAAATATTTATTACCTATGCTTTTATCCTTTTGAATCAAGTTTTAAAAATCGACACATCATTTACGACATGTCTTTGCATGTTAACCAGTTCTTTTTTAAATATTTTAATTCTACGATCAAGTATGAACTTGTATCACTATCGACGTCTATAATAATAAGTAAACTTTTAGTGTTTGACTTGGCTCTCAGTACTTAAAAGTTTGTGTACAGTAAGCATCGCACGGGTTAAAAGTAAATGAACGGCAATATCATAAACAATATAACCTCATTAGTTAAATTTCGTAGGACATAGTTTTTAACCTGATTTTACGCAGATGTGAAAGATTTTCTTTTAACATAATCAAGTAATAGTATTTTTCAACAAATTTTATTATAAAAGTTAATTTATAGTTCATTTGGGTTAAATCTCCGTCAAATTTTGCATTATTCACTAATAATTATGTACAATTTCTTAGCTATATCATTAGCTTCCTACAGAAATAATGCTTTATCAATTAATTGTACAAATATTTTAATGTTAATTAGTCTGGTTGAAAAGAATTCGTCGAATCTTAGAGAAAATCAATTTCAGCGGCTCAAGCAAAAAAAACTGCGAGAAACTCAAACCTGAAAATTTTTTTGTAGATAATAATATCTATTACTTACACCTCGTGTAGTCTTCTTATCATATTTTTGTCAGCTACAAAAAC